TTAAATTAATGCTAAATTAAATATATAGTTATATATTTATTCAGTATATTAATTTGATTCTAGTATCATGAGTATGCCTTGGTTATAGTTTTACCGTACTTCAATATTCTCCATTATTCATACAGTTAACTTTAAAAGGCTTAAATATTTAAAATGCAACCAATTCTTTACAAACGTTAAACATACCATGACAAAATAAATTGTTTCTGGTTACACATGTTTACATTATTTGAATATGCCGCTTCATCTGCCATCTAGTGACGGGAAAAAATATTAAATTTTATTTTATTATTGACCAATCAGAACTTACCTTTATATTCAGTGCGTATAAACCGGAAGTCAGGCAGTCTAGCGAAATTCTTAGGCACTTGGAGGTGTAAAAACATCTTTTTCTTCGAAGGAACGGCATTGGAGCGGAACGAAACAGTACATACATTCAAAGTAAGTTATTAGTGAACGATTAATCGCGCCAAGTCTTCTGAGAAAGGCCTAAAATACCCCAAACCCGAATTTGCCTCAAAAAGAGTGTCCTACCCTTCTTTTTTTATACATACACATACTATATATTTACATTAACTTCCAGTGCCCGTGATATACCCCGACACTTACGCTGCTTGCGCACCACAAGCGTTCCCGTAAGTGACTCCGTCAACACCACACACCGGTGTATAGTCGGCCGTACACACCACGGGACGTGGACACTCACCTCTACTTGCGACTCGAACACCTCTGAAAAACAATAGAGCTGTCTGCATACATATATAAACAACCGCACATATATCTCATCTATCGGTGGTCTGCCTTGGTTTAAATAAAATATCGTATCCAGAGCATGCTCTTGAATATCGAATTACTTGTAAGATGATATCATCATATGCAGGCGATAGCGAAATATTATTACTTATAGTCTGTCCCACCAAGTTACTGTAAGCACTTTTCGCATAAAATCTCAAAATATATAAATACCTTGGCTTTCAACCCAGTTCCGATCAATAGATCATTTTTTTTCCAACCTTCCACCGTTTATCCGAACCCTCGAGGTCAACCAGTGTATACACACGGCGGCAAATTCAAAGTCTACGGAGATTTAACATTGTCAAAATGGCCACCACTTCGGAAGGGGATCATCCATTGTTCGTAATTTTCCGTACGTCGTCGTCAGTAAGGAAATGACGTCACACACGTTCGGGAGTGCTCTATGGTTATCGACGTCCGAAAAACCTATAACGCCCGAGACTTCCAAGTATATATTATACTACAAGAAATATTACTTTTTCAACAAACTTTCATACCCAGACTGAGACCCAAGGGACCAAAGATTCATAAAAGGGTTAGTCACTGCATAAAGGCAAAGAGGTATGACTCAATTCACACATAACATTTCGATAGAATAATCGAGGCTAGGCTACTGCAAATTTAGCTCAAGTAAAATTGGTTTTATAATTTATAGCCAACACGTAACATTAGAGATCAATCAAAGTAACATCACTAGGATTGAGATTTTTAAAAATTATAATTGCTGCCTTACCTTAACGTTTCACCTTAGCTTTCCTTATAAATCCAACTCCTTTACGTTTGTTAAAAAAATGTAACACACGGTCAAAATAAGTCATATTATCGTTTTTATGTCACAGTATGTGAACAAGTGATGTCCTCACATGCACATGCCACAGTATTTCTTGACTTTGTTATACTTCCAACTCTTTGAACACATAAATCCTTCGTTGATATTTTATTTTTAATCTCGGTGCAAAACAACGTTTGTTGTCTGCATCAATTAAACTACGTCACCAATGAATTTTGACCTTGCCCTTCCAAACCTTCCTGTAAATTGTAATGTATCGGTGTTAGGTAAATTCAGACCCAGGATATACATTTTTGTTTACCTTAAATATAACAGAATACCAAAATTTAAAATATTCCTATACACATAAAATTAAAATACATAACGCAAGTGTGAAGGATTATGATTTTTTAAAATATATTATAATTTTTTTCCTTTCTCTATTTCAATAAAACAATTTAACAGAAAGCCTTTTAATTTTTATGAGTTTTCAGAACAAAAATTTTCATTGCAGGAATCTGAATAGCTGCCTGGTGCAACTACAAGATAGAAAACACAAACATGTACATTATACATATTAAGCCATAAGTACCTGCAGATACATATATATTGAAGGTATGAAATAATGCAGGTTTCTTGAGTTTGATTTTTGAGTCCCAGCATTTTTTTTTTCCTTTTGTATTTGTAAATTTTCAAAGTAAGTTTATTCATTGACAGTTCCCTAGTACGCAAACATGCATATATGCCTATATCATATACCTAGTAGTGTATCAGCTCTGATACAGATGTTTTGGACTAGGTGAGACAGTGCCTTGTAAGGCCAAAAAAATAATTATCTTGTTTCCTGCTACCAGCATGAAAAAAAATTGGGTAGGTAGGCAGGAAAATTATTTTATTTTTTAATTTCTTTTTATTTTCGATATGAACTAATACAAAACCAAATTAAACATGCCATAGACCAATATATTCATTACAAATTAAAATTTGTCTTTTGATGCATGACTCAAGTGGTATGTTATGAAAGTCTATATTTAAAACATATACATGTAGTATCATAAAATATCACTTGAATATACATTATTTTTTCCAGTTTTGGGACATGAAATTACAGAAATTCCAGATTTTTTCCGAAACCTAAAAAACTTTAGGGTCAGGTGCAAGGTAACAGGAAACAAGACTATTATTTTTTTGGGCCTAAGTAGAGCTGTCTCGCCCTCGAGGCTGAGATATCTCTGTGTTCTTTTATAATCATAGAAACACCCCTTAACATTTTTCACACATGGGCTTACATACAGACCGTTACAAAACACTAACGGTAAACCATTGAGCACTAACAACAAGAGAGACTAATGTCAGCAATATCACGCGTTTTGAAATATATATATATTCTTAGCATTTGTAGACACTTCTTTCTTGTGTGTATATAAGCTAGTAAAACAACAACAGCTGCAAAAAAAAAACCCCATAGAATAAATAAACAACTTACGTTTAAAACACTGGGCCTGGCGAGCTTGCATCATCATGTCAACAGCCATTATCCACAAGTTGTACTTCGTTAGATTCGGATTATTTTCTCGTAGTTTATAATTAAATTTGTTAAATGCTGTTAAAATTTATTTTAATTCAAAGTAAATGTTAAATTATCAATAAAAGCAATTTATATTAATTCCTTTAATTTTTAACGATTTTTTGGAAATTTACTTTGCAAAGAACGACCGCTCCCTTCGAAAACTGGTTCCCGGCCCCGTAATCTAGACGCTAATGGACGAGTTTACCATGTTAAATCCCCGTAGACTTTGAATTTGCCGCCGTGTGTTTACACTGGTTGACCTCGAGGGTTCGGATAAATGGAGGAAGGTTGGAAAAAAAATGATCTATCAATCGGAACTGGGTTGAAGGCCAAGGTATTTATATATTTTGAGATACTATGCGAAAAGTGCTTACAGTAACTTGGTGGGACAGACTATAAATAAGGATAGTTGACGATAGACACTCTGATCATAATTTGTTACACAATTTAGTTCTTAGCTGGTCATTTCCTCTGAGGACAACAAAACATTTTTTTAATTATTAAACAGAAATGTTTAAAAGTTATGCCCAATTTCCATACATTTGGAAGGAATATGCTTTAAGATTAATGAATCTATAGTGGTGTGAATGTCACATCAACCCAATGTACTAGACACTGAGTTCCTTTATGAACTTTGCACGAAAAACAATTTAATATGAATTTAGTATACTAGATATTGTCTTATATGAATCTTCACTGAGGTCCATGGTTACTCTTTTTGGTAGAAACTTTCTAAGATTTTTAAACTTTTCTCCATTGTATTTAATAATCATATATAACTTATATTGTAAAAGCATCACCTCAAAGATTTGAATTTTTTGCAAATCGAACTAGATCATAAATGTAAGACTTACTTGCAAAAGGCCATACATTTGTTTCCATAAGACTTGCCATCAACGCCACAGACAGGGTTGTAGTTTTTCTTACATTTACAGCAGGAATCCGAATCAGCGGCAGCCTGGGCACCTCTGTAAGATATAGTCGATATATACCGGTATATATATTACACAAAGATATATATATTGTATATGCATGAAATCTACTGCATGGTTTGTTTTAATATTTTTTTTTCATTCATAAACATTTATATTAAAAGTAATTATTGCAATTGGCTTGTTTTGTTTTTAGATTTATTCATGAAAAAAACGATATTTTCACAAAAAAATGTTCCATGTGCGTAAAATATTTGAGCAGATTATTGCAACTATTTTATACTCTGGTGTACTGTATATATTTCCCCTAAATCCATTCAAGAATTGAAATGATCAAAAGGCATTTTAAGTTTTTAACAAGTCTGCTCCGCTATTTATATTACATATGTATTTAAAATACCTTCTTTTTTTTTTTACACTTTCAAGAGTTCTAGCACTCTCAAAACCCTCTTTCTAAAATATATTTTCAAAATTCTTTTCCTGAAATATAGTCTAATAATAGAATTATACTTACTCGCATTTCATTAAACAATCATTAGCATAGATGAAGCCATCATCACCACACACTGGGTTTAAAATCTTTGGACAGGGACAGCTAGGGGGACTCCTGGCCAGGGAGGCTACTAATACAGACGAACACACCAACAAACCAGACAGAAACATTTTCCAGGACTGAAAAAGATTATGGAGGAGAAAAAAAAATTATAGTTTAGTACACTGTCTTGATTTATTAAGAAAGACGATATGTTTCTCCTAAAGCACAGATGATTTTTTTCCCCTTCAAATTTCAAATGCCTCTCTCATTAAAGAAATGATTTTTACATCTTTAAATATATATATTGTTTGCGATGGATTTTTTTTGTTTCTAAATCGTCGATTTATCTCAAATAAAGAATAAGTACCCGAATTAGGTACTTATGTAGAATATTATCTACATTTTTCTAAATCTTCATATCTAATATTATCTACATCTACTTTTTAAAAAATAACTTTTAATATATAACATCTGCATTTTCCTAAAGCTTAATATAAATAATTAATATTAATATCATCTTATGTACAATTGTATATAAAACATATTTTATTTTTTATCATAGAGAATTTTGAAACACTACTGGGGGAGGCGGAGAAATCCACGTGAACGCTCCATTTTAGCGAGGTAAAAACCATACTCACTTTGATGTTGATAATCCTCGTCCAACGTAACTTTTTCAATATGTGAGGAAAGTTGCTATATTCAGATTTATATTGCGTTCCGATGTAAATTTATTTGTAATTGATAACCATCTAATACAACATGTGTTAATTTTAATGATCATTAGTGTATCATCCGCAATTTGACCCCAGGTAGCCAGGGGACAAACAAACAGCTGTCGTCAAGTATCTGTTTGTAAATTCTGGAACAAATATGACAAATGGATAGAATAATATTAGCAACCTTGATATATTCATTTAGTTTCAGGACTTTTAAAAAGAATAGGCTTTAACCATTTTAACTTCTAGTATAAGAAAAATTTACACTTTTTAAATTTTTTTCCCTTGCATAGAATAAACAGTAGAAATAAAATGGATAAGAATAATTCGTATTCAAGTAACATTGAAAGGATGAGCAAAACGTTTCATATTTAAAAAATAAAGATAGATTTAAAATTATTTTTGAATTGAATTTCAGTGAATATATAAAAGTAAAGATAAAAGGGAATGAAAAATAAAACCCGTAAATTGTGAAATTTCGTAATAAGTATGAATTCTAGCATTACTTAAAACCATGCATATACATGTATATGGACAAATTTCTACTACATTTTTTTTTTAGCTTTTTTTTTGTAACCCATGTCCATTTGTTCATTAGATTTACTTGCAAATTAAAGCTACATTCATCGTGTTTTAAAAAAAAGTTTTGTTCTGGTATTTATTTATCCATTGACAATTAAAAAAATATTCCTTTTTTGTCATGAAGTGTACGTTAATTTGTTTATTCTATTCGATTATTTACGTGAACCTCTGTCAAAATTTATCATTATAATGGTTCATAATTTTTTCTTCTGTTTCATGCCTGCCTGATTTTGAATTCATTTTACATCTTAAACTTCATAAATAAAAAGCGTGAAAAATTTTTTCAAGAATAATATTAATTTCTTAATAATCTTGTGTTTGGAGGGTTATTCACCGATTGAGCAGAAGTTCAAGTTCCTCAAGGTTTTATAATGAAAATGTAAATGTTCCCCCTCAAGTCAAAATTCCATAAAATATAAAAATGGTTTGAATTAACAGCTGCATTTATATTCAATTTTGTTCTTACTCTCAAATATCCAAAAAGAACTTTCCATAAAATTCATACCCTTTTCCTTTCTATAGTTTCAATAGGGTATGTTCTAGAAATAAAACGGTATTTGGTAAATTGGAGTGCCTAGACCTACAAAAATTCAATAAACTTTTTATAAATGCTAAAAATTTCCAACTTTCATTATACTTTGATTAAATAAAATTTTCTCAAGTAGGCATTATTGTTTTTAAACAAATAAGCTTATGTTTTTAAGAATATGATCCATAAACTCAAAAAAAAATTCTTTTTATGTTTTTAAGTTAACTTTATTTAAAAGTTAAAAAAAAAAAATAAAATTTATACCTTTAAATCAATGAAAATAAATATGCTTGATCCTCCTCAAGATTTTTTTTTTAAGATTTAAGAAGGTAGAGGTGTACGAAATGCGTACATTCAGGTACAAACTGTGTGCTTGCAGAAACAAATACGGAAAATTAACAACTGTTCTTGGTGAGTGTACATTTAAAGAGAAATATAAAAATTGTAGCAATTATTCATATAAAAGGATTTTTTTTAAAAAGTTCCTCCGATTACCCAGATTATCTAAAATAAATTTTTGAACACTATTCCAAGCTTTGAAGATTCGGATCTTTCGAAAAATAAAACTTTAAAAAGTATATGTCTGAATATGTTTTATTTTTCAGGAACACACTGGTATTTTGTCAGTGGAAAAGCTGCCAATACGATGCATAATATGATTCCGATGTGATTCCGACTTCAAATATAGAAAGTCGAGCGCTTATTCGTCGGATTGCTTTTTAGCCAGTCTGAATCAGAAACAAGCGCCCAGCACTCTGATACACTAGTCATTGGAATAAGTAGCTGGATTGAAAACAGACATCCACACAACAATGTTTATCAACATTTTCCAATTTTGACCACATAAATTTCACTGAAATAAAAAAAGTCATAATCTGAACTGAGTAATAGTATTTGTTTAGGCAATAATAATTTTTGTAAAATTCTTGAAAACAAAAGAACTCGATCTGAAGTGGTGTTTAAAATTTACATTCATATCACATAGAAATGCTATGGAAATGCTATATATTAAAGGTAATTTATCTTGTTTACCAAATATTGTACTTTCATTTAGAATTAAAGACTTTTTTTCATTTCTATTCAAATAAGGAAATTAAACTACGATGTTTGTCAACAATGATTAACAAGAAGTGTCGACAAGAAATCTTGAAAAATGACAGATACTCACTTCACACAGTCAGCAAGACAGAGATTCTGATAGGTTCTTCCATCACTTCCGCAGACTGGTCTGTAGTCATGAGGAGAACAAAAACATTGTCTTGGGCACTCCCCATCAGAAGCAATCCGAACATCCCTATACAAACACAATAAAATTTCGTATTAAAATGTATTTTATGAATGTATTCTTGATTAAATTTAGGTAAAACGGTTATTTTGAAAAACAATTTGAAAAAATAAATCTCATAAATTGAAACTTCGAATACTGTGAAATCACGAAATTCCAAGGGGTTTAATTTTCGTTGTTTTCGAGGCATGCATGTAAAATTTCATATATGCATCACTACTTAACATTTTCCGACCACGAAATAAAATCTCCCAAAACCAATATTTTTTCCCAAACCTCGAGAATTTGAACCAACCAAAATTTGTTATATTACAGTATTGAAATATTTCAGAAAATAAAGACGAGAAAAGTAAAAATTCTCTTACCCTGCTTTACAAAGGTTTCCATAGGTCATCCCGTCCACTCCACAAACAGGTTCGTAGACGTCTGAACATGGCGACGGAGTGGGGACACGTGGGCATTCTCCCTTCCTTACAATCCGAATACCTCTGTAAAGATATCAAATTGATTTATCTTTTATTATGATAATAAAATTCCAATTTAAGAAAATGTTATAACTTAAATGTTGAAAACCTCTTTTTTTATTTTGATAACATTTTGTTTTCAGAAATTGAAGAGAAATGACCAAATCAAAATAATACCCTTTACAAGATATTAAATCGATTGTGTTATTTTGAATTTTTTATATGTGTTAAAAGCACATATGAAAAATTGGATCAAAAATAAAAATTAACATTTTCTCCTAAATTCTTTCGGTACATCTATCGTTTTTACAATCTTGGTAAAGAAAAATATTGTTGAAAGATGAAAACGCCTATCATGAAAATGTTAAACTTACTGAATACGCGTTTGTGTCGCAAATAATCTTGTTTGAATTACATTGATACTTTGATTGGTAAGCAGTGTTATATATAAACGTCTATCTTTTTGATAATTTGTTTTTAATTTTGACTATCATTCATTAACTTTACCTGCATGTCGCCATGCATTCATTTCCATACGATCTACCATTAATACCACATACAGGATTATAATTCAAATCACATGAGCAGCAGGACAATGGATTATCTGCAGCCGTTACACCCCTGGAATATTCAACAGTTAAAATTTCAAACCTCACGAAAGCAAGAGTAGCTCATCTTACAATTTAACTTTTACTCATGTTCTTTGAAATTTTGAATTTTTTGAACGACTAAAACATTGAAATTCTTTGAAGAAAGGAAATGTAAGGGTTTCATTATTTTTGACTGGATTGAGTTACTCACGCGCATTCCATGATGCATGAATTGTTGTATGTGACGCCGTCCTCTCCACATATTGGTTCCACAGTCTCTGTACAAATGCAGGGAACATTTCTAGCCAGGATAACGGACACAACTGACGAACAAACCATCAAAAGTGTGACATCCATCATATCTGAGAACATTAAAAGAAAATACATTTTAAATATGTTTTTCCCTCTATTAGTGTAATTTGCAAAACGATTTCCGCTTCAATAGATAAGTATTTTTTAAATTCAATTTCATCTTTCGTTTCTGAGTTCTCTTAACTCTTCCACACAAATTTCTGATTTTAATGACATTTATTAGTTTACGAATGGGTTGACGTTTAATATATGTCCGTTAAAGAATGAATAGTTAAACTCACAGTTTACAAACAAACTGTAACTGAAAATTGATTTACAAAATACTTCTCCACATCACAAAAGAATTTTGTAATTTTTTTTGGATGCTCTGCTTTTATTATCTTCATGAAAAAAAATTCAGGAAAAGAGGTACACTGTACTCTAAATTGATAAATGATATTTTACTTACGGTTGCAGAAAATCTTTGACTTTCCTCCGACGTAAACCTCTTATTTTTCGTTTATATGAAGCTCAAAGAAATAACACGTAATTTATAACCGTAAAACAATTTGTCCCTCAAAAAGAAGAAATATGCATGGCACTTATTAAGTAATTCAAATTCGGTTGATGACCCCAAGAACACTACAAAAACAATCATAAAACATCGATGGAACTTCTAAATAAACTTGTTTTGGTTGCAATATACAAATTTCACATTGTTTGTGTTTCATTGCTGACAATTGTTTGCCAAAATATCAAATAAATTTAAATGAAGAATTACGCGCCTTGTTATATTAGTATTAATGTACTTATGTCTTTAAAGATGTTAGAATGCCCCTTTGGTATTTGATTGAAATAACAACATATTTCTTGTTTAGCAAACAGAAAAAAGTTAATAATGATATCATAATTAATTTAAACAATACCTCTGAATAAATTCGTTGCTAAACTACATTGCACAGAGAGTGCCAGCTGCTTCCATTCGAGGTCTTAAAACGTCATTAAACGTGCGGTATCCTTATCTTATCTGTTGTATGTACAATACACCAAATTGATATGTTTATCTGATGGAATAAATATCTATAATTTCATCATTCAAATTAAAGATGAATCATGCATAAATGTTTTCTGCCTTTGATTATAATTGTCAATGTGAATTATATGGAGGTAACGAACAGTATTCAAGCTCAAAGGACCAACAATACAAAATAGGAGCAGAGCAAACACGGACCTCCGACACATCAGAGGTGGGATTAGGTGTCATGGAGAAGTGAGCACCCCCTGCCGACCGGTCACACCCGCCGTGTGCTGCTTGTCATATGATCGAGAGAAAAAACCCGGGAAAATCCGTCGACAATTCAGTGTGTAAATAATAGTCTAACAATTATTTTTGAAATTGTTATTCGGCATTTGACTTATTGATAAATTGTATTTGCTGACAAAGTCATTCATATCGACCATAAAACGTACGAAATGATTACTTTAAACGATACTGCTGATATTCTTTTTTCATCAATTTGTTAAAAATTTACCTCATTTTAGAAATTGAACGCATATATACGCAGAGCATGCTCTTGTGTATCGAATCAACTGAGAGATATAAACCCAGTATGCAGGTGATAAAGGTTTATTGTTGCATAAGTAATGAAGATAACGGTTGAAAATTGAAAGTCATCACATTTATCATAATGCTTAGTTGTGAGATTATCATTGATTTTTTTTTTCAATTTAAATATCCAAATATGAAACAGAAGTGACAGACTCTGTGGTATCTTTTATTTCAACCTCACCGCGGAATATATCGTATCGAAATAAGAATGGAAATATAATTATTTTAACTGAAAAAAAACGTCGTCAATATAATTTTATCTAAATGTCGAGTTGAACCAAAGCAAGTGTTTTCTTCTTTTGGCTTATAAGATTTTGGACAAATTCTGCTTTATATGAATACAAAAATAGGTCTGTTAATAACTGCGCAGTTAGTGCCCTTGGGATTACAATAGATTGTTGGAAGACATGGTCTCCAAAAACCACATAAATATTGTCAATCAGAAACTCAAGCATCTTTTTAATGTCAACTTTCTAGTACTTGTGTGTACAATCAGAATGTTTTTTTTAAAAATAATTTTGCAAATGACCAATGACAAGATAAGTAAATATACGTTCCACTTTTATTGAAAAAGCAGCTAATAATGATATCAAAAGCCTGGACTTTAATTTATCGCGGGGAATGGTTGTGTATAAAGTTGAAAAGTCAAAAATTTTAAGCTATTAATTTTGGTAGAATCTTGTGATATCAAAATTTCCAGAAGTTCTTGGAATTCTTAAGTATCCATATCTGATTTACACCACTTCTCCAATAAATTGTTGCACAGAACTCTTGAAGTTTCTCCTTCACTACTGTAATATCTTACTGGGGAGTAAAAAAAAGACTTGGTTGAACATTTACTGGAATCCGCTATGTATCTTGCTTGTAGGATTTTTATGAAGTTTCGAAATTCAATATAGACATGGTCAATAAAATCAATAAAATTCTTTTTGGTAGTTTGGAATATTAAAAATATTCAAAACTGACATATGATTTTGAAGGATTTCTACCTTAGAAAGGGAACAATAAGTATAAGATGGACTTCCTTTTGTAGTATTAAATCCAAGTTTCACCAAAATACATTTTATATAATAAGCCTTACAAACAAAGACAATGTTGTTACCTGCTTTGTCAGAATACAGAAGGATGGATGATTTTCATATTGATTTTCGTATTGCCCCTCAATCTTTAATTCAGCGATTGTTGACATACATATGATACATTTGATTCATTCTAATAAAGTGTCAACGTCTTCTTTTCCATATCTGGCCCATCGAATGGTGTAATCTCCTACAGAATCCATAATATTCTCTATATTTTGACCTTTTAAAATTAGTGATCTAAGGTCCTGATTATTAAGTATATTTACATGTACTTAACCAGTAATAATTTGTCCAGCAGGACTGTTTGGTAGATTTTTGTTTGTCTTATTATGGTGTCTTAATATGGTGAAGATCTCTTCACGCAATCGTTTTGGTATAAACCAATGACAAGTAAATTTCCCACTTCCATTTTTATTAAATAAAGCAGCCGTCCATGTTATCAATAGGCACATCAAAGGTCATACGTCCATGCAGTCGTTACTCTGCGCCAAAAACAGAAAATACTTCATTTTGGTGTACTTCTCAAATATTTTAGTATTTTCATCTTCTTTACTCATGTTACTTGCAAGCCCCTCCTTTGAAAGTTGTAAAACTGAACTTCAACATTATCCTTTTGTCATGTGTTCATCTTTTTTTTACATATACATTAATCTTAATGTTCTTTCTATATGTTTCTGATGGAAATGATGTACTATGTTTAGAGCAACATTTTTAAGCCATCCACGCTTTACATCGATCTGTTTTACAATCACGGTACGCATTTTCTTTGAAAAAGAAAACAAATTAATTTAACTTAAACAAATTAGTAAAGATTAATAGTATGCTAGAACAAACTGATATTGTTATTGTATACACTTCTTATCTGTGGAAAAAAATTCAAATCAGTTTCTCTTTACAACAGAAATAGATGTGTAACAGGCTTTCTCATAAGGGTAAAAAATAATTCCTGCAGTTCAGGTTCTCATAGTTATAACAGTATCTGATGTTGAATGTAAATGTTTTAACAAAGTCCTGTTAATATCAACAAACAAAGGATAAATATTTAGAAAACAAACATATTCCATTTATCATATTATTAATGAATTTACCTACGATTTACTTTATAATTAGAATATATGATAAATATACATATATCACACATTATACTGAGTATCCAATTAACACATGAAAAAGCAAGCGTTATTTCCCTTAGGTCAACTTATTGAAAACGAGAATTTACAGGGGGAAACTACATCAAACAGAACTAAAAATGATATAATTAATCAAAAATCTGTTTACAATGAAACATATACAGAGAATTAAATACATATATATGGATGGAGATAACAAAGAATATTCAAGCTCAAAAGTCCTTAAAACAATACCAACAAGATTTGCTTGTGAAAAACTGATGCCCACGTATGGCAACATAGCGAAGGTTAAGCTTTCTCAAATGCAGATCAAATATATTGGTACCAAAAATAAGGTCTTTTCAAATGAAATACAACTGTGAAATATAAAACGCTATCTACACATGTTTAAGATTTATGACCAAGGTAAACAATTCATAAGATAGGACAAACTCTGGGTCAAGGTCAAAGGGTCAAGGTTGTTGGTTTCTAAAGAAAGGCCTTGTCGCAAAGATTACGTATGGGAAGTATGAAAGAGCTGGCCCTTACAGTTCAAAAGTTAAGGCCAAGGTTAAAGTTTGTAAAAAGTAGGTCAAACTCTAAGGTCAATGTCAAAAGGTCAAGATTCTTGATATCAAATGAATTGTCTTGTCACAAGGATTACACCACCTGTGAAATATGAAAGCTCGAGCCCCTACTGTTCAAAAGTTATGGCCAAGGTTAAAGTTTGTAAAAAGTAGGCCAATCTCCAAGGTCAAGGTCAAAATGTCAAGGTTCTTGATACCCAGATAAAGGTCTCGGCATAAGAAATACACATGTGAAATATGAATGTAATAGCTCCACTAAATCAAAAGTTATAGGCAAGGTTAAAGTTTTTGCGGACAAACAGAGAGACAGACGGACAGACAGGCGGACGGACACGACAAAAATAAAAATAGGAGCAGAGCAAACACGGACCTCCAAAACATCAGAGATGGGATCAGGATCAGAGTTAATAGAAAATGCTATAGTAGATAGCAGAAATACTTGATTGTGGATCAGGGCTCAAACAAGAGACAACCCGATCATAATAACGGATCTTTATATATAAACATAATACGACATAAAAACAATAATTATTGTGCTATAAAAATTCTGCAAAATTGTTATTTTAATAGCATACTAAAAACATAGGTAATCAAAGATTACGAAGCTCACCTCGACGAATGTTATCAGTTTAAGTAATGCAAATCCTACATCATATTTTCTTAATATTAAGTATTCATCCCAACAACAATATTCTTGCAAGTTGTGCTGAACCCTTTACATGGTATATACACATTTCTATGCGTGTAGTGTGAAAAACATGTATTGTGTAAACAAATATTCATAACTGTTAAAACTGCAGATATCAAAGACTTCAAGTTCATTCGGATTGATCTGTTCCCAAAACTTTAACCTGGTCTCTTGTATGGAAAATATAGGTCGGATCCATCATCCCAGATACATCATCTATGCAAGTTCGGTCCAAATAGGGCTCATAGTTACTTGGGAATGAAAATGTAGGTCAGATCCAGCATCCGAAGCAAGTCTGGTAGTGTCCGTCCCTAGATACATCATCCATGCAAGTTTGCTTCAGGTAGGGCTTATAGTTACTTGGGAATGAAAATGTAGGTCTGATCCAGCATCCGAAGCAAGTCTGGAAGTGTCCATCCCTAGATACATCATCCATGCAAGTTTGGTCCAAATAGAGTTCATAGTTCCTTGGGAATGAAAAATGTAGGTCAGATCCAGCATCCGAAGCAAGTCTGGTAGTGTCCATCCCTAGATACATCATCCATGCAAGTTTGCTTCAGGTAGGGCTTATAGTTACTTGGGAATGAAAATGTAGGTCAGATCCAGCATCCGAAGCAAGTCTGGTAGTGTCCATCCCTAGATGCATCATCCATGCAAGTTTGGTTCAGGTAGGGCTTATAGTTACTTGGAAATGAAAATGTAGGTCTGATCCAGCATCCGAAGCAAGTCTGGAAGTGTCCATCCCTAGATGCATCATCCATGCAAGTTTGGTTCAGGTAGGGCTTATAGTTACTTGGGAATGAAAATGTAGGTCAGATCCAGCATCCGAAGTAAGTCTGGTAGTGTCCATCCCTAGATGCATCATCCATGCAAGTTTGGTTCAGGTAGGGCTTATAGTTACTTGGGAATGAAAATGTAGGTCTGATCCAGCATCCGAAGCAAGTCTGGTAGTGTCCATCCCAAGATGCATCATCCAAGCAAGTTTGCTTCAGGTAGGGCTTATAGCTACTTGGGAATGAAAATGTAGGTCTGATCCAGCATCCGAAGCAAGTCTGGTAGTGTCCATCCCTAGATAAATCATCCATGCAAGTTTGATCCAAATAGAGCTCATAGTTCCTTGGGAATGAAAATGTAGGTCAGATCCAGCATCTGAAACTAGTCTGGTAGTGTACATCCCTAGATACATCATTCATGCAAGTTTGCTTCAGGTAGGGCTTATAGTTACTTGGGAATGAAAATGTAGGTCAGATCCAGCATCCGAAGCAAGTCTGGTAGTGTCCATCCCTAGATGCATCATCCATGCAAGTTTGGTCCACATAGGGCTTATAGTTCCTGTGGAATGGACCTGCTCCAAAAACTTTAACCTGGTCACTCATCTAGACAATGTAGGTCAGATTCAGCATCCGAAGCAAGTCTGGTATTGTACATCCCTAGATGCATCATCCATGCAAGTTTGGTTCAGGTAGGGCTTATAGTTCCTTGGGAATAGACCTGCTCCAAAAACTTTAACCTGGTCACTCATCTGGAAAATGTAGGTCAGATCCAGCATCCGAAGCAAGTCTGGTAGTGTACATTCCTAGATGCATCATCCATGCAAGTTTGGTCTGGGTAGGACTTATAATTCCTTGGGAATGGACCT